CGGAGCAGACCAGCGAGGGGAGGGGGTCAACAGAAACTCGGAAAGAAAAGATTGATTAAATCACTAAGGTATCGTTGATCCCCCTGAGGTCCGATATCGAAAAAGCCCTTTCATATTTCCTCCAAATCTCATCACAGACCAGGAAATGCATTGTTCCCTTATCTTTCACCCCGCCAGTGAGGACAAAAGCCTCGCATTCCAGCTGGCGGATGCCCCTAAGCTCATCATTTCCTCAGCCATTGTCAAGCCTCGTCCCGCCTCCTAGCTGCCGATTGGTCCATCTTCGGAAGCGCTAGGAAGGCACTGATTGGCCTCCCAGAGGCGGCGGGGCCCGCTGATTGGTCCAGAGCAGGGGCGGGCCGCCCAGCCTCCTCCCAGCTGTTCCAGCATCAGCCAATCAGCATGAAGCCGGCCGGCAAGGGGCGGGCGGGAATTTTGAAAGTTTTCCTTTGTATTTTTACTATAAATATGCCTGTATTCTTTGTACTGGTATGCTTGCAGCGGAATGATTCCTGCAATGCATCTGATCTCAGCTGAATCACAAATAAACCTCGGTTGCTGGAAACTTCTTTCCCCTTGATGAGGCATTATTATTTGTAATGTTTTTACTCTTTGGATTGGCTTTCGCTGGCCTCACCAAGGTTCCAGGGCCCTTTTGAGCGGTCCTCAGGGATCTCCTCCGCCGGGAGACCCTACTAAAAGTAGCTCGATATCATTCGCAAATGTGAACTTTTGGATGGCTTGAACAATATTTTGTTGAAATAAATGTACCATAAAAGGTAAATATTTCCCCTTGTCATTAAGTCTAGTAATGTCTGACTGGGGGGGGGGGGTGCTCATCTCCATTTCTAAGCTGAAGAGCCGGTGTTGTTCGTAGACGCCTCCAAGGTCATTTGGCTTGCATGACTGCATGGAGCGCTGTTACCTTCCCATCAGAGAGGTACCTATTGATCTACTCACATTTACATTTATACCATAGGGATTGTGTATCATAGGTTGAAGCAAAATAGACATAATAAAATATGAGGAGCAGACTTCTGGACACAATTTGTAAACAGCATTATAGCTGTTCCTTCTTCTGCTTTTATCAATGTTCTGACATTCAAAAAGGATTCGGGGGATATGGAAATATATCAACTGGATGGGACAGGTTGAAAGATCTTCCTCCCTGAATTAGAACCTTTTCCTCTGTGCTCAGAGGGCAAATACTAAAACCTCTCATGGTCTTTGGGTTGGACCAGAGAAAGGGAGGGAGGAGCAGTCTTCCAGGAAGGCGAAACTGGTTTCTGTAGTGCATCTATTCCAGCAAAACTGAAAAGGGCTTAGTACAATACAGTGAAGGTGATATAGTTATGACTGAAGTTATCTGATGCCAGTTTTCATCTCATTCTCTGTTTCCTGGCAAAACTAAATTTGTTTCTCACTGACTAACAACAGGTAATTATGTTATTGTATCTGCAAACTACAGACAGAAGCCTCAAGCTATCATATGATGGTTTTTGCCGTATTTATGCACAGCCAACATGCTGTCAAGACGGAGTCTGCCAGGGCCCATCAAATGATGCAGGACTACTTCTGGTAGGGAGTCATGCTGGCAACACAGAAAGACAGAGTCCTGAATAGTCAGGACTACCTGACCTCTCATAGAAGAAGCCAGGAACAGTACAGAAGGAAGCCAGGAGCAGTGGGGAAATGTCATGAGATGGCAGCCCATGACACATGATGGTAAGGGGACAAAGCAGAATGCTGCCCTACAGCTTCCCTCACTGTCCCCCTCTATCCCTTAACTTCTGGACCTTTGTGTGATGATGTTCATAGTCTTCAGAGTATGAGTTTTCAAGAAATATATTCCATTTGTAGTTGCATTAACCACTAGGAGAATGCAATACAAAGGGACATAGAGCCAGAAATAGCACTGTGGACTCAAAGAATGATGGCTCCGGACCATACTTGGCACAAATACTCAATATGCCCAAGTGTGAACACTGGTGACATTTGGGAGTTGTAGTTGCTGGGATTAATAGTTCACCTACAATCAAATAACATTCTGAACCCTACCAACGATAGAATTGGGCCAAACATCCCACACAGAACTCCCATGCGAGCCTCCCTCTCACCTTGCATGCTCTCCCTGGCCTGTACATGCCATGCACCAAGCATACCTGCTCTCCTCTCCCTGCTTGAAGTCTCAGAAACAGCCCATCCCTTGTCTGAGAGGCCAGCCAATCACAGTGGAGGAGGGCATTTGATGGGAGGATTCACAGTTTCCAAAAAGGAAGAGAAGGACAAGTAGAGAGATCTTCAGCCTGCTCTGCAAAGGGGTTCCTAGGACCATCAGAAATATATGTTTTCTGATTATCTTTAGCAATCCTCCCTGAAACCCCGTAGCGACCCTCTGGGGGTCCTGACACCCGGGATAAAAACCGCTAGGTTAAGGCAACAAGAAGGGCTTTTTGGCTGAGAATTCTTAATACTTGTCCATGAATTTCAAACACCAGGATCATGTGAGATAGAAGTTAAAGTGTTATGCCTCAACTGTGCAGTGTGAAGGTGCCCAAGTTGTCAGGACATCAAGAGGTTGGAAAATGTTCACATTGGAAATGGCTAACTATAGAATAATTGCCCTCCAATGTATTGCAGGGAGTATATCAGTCTTCATCAAATTAATTGTCAACCAAACTGCCAAAACCTCTTGAATACCACAGTTCACCACATCCTCCATTAATCGCCTGCTATATCATTGCATGTGCATATCTGCTTGCCAGAACTTCATTTTAAATTCATTCATCTCTGATCTCTCTCTGCCATCAAGCTTCTGATTAAAATAAGGTGTTTTATTAGCCATTACAATTTACACTTCAGTGAAGTACAATGGCTTGAAGGGAACTATATGTTGAACGAAGATTGTTTATGTATTCACTTAATTGTTTGTATCTCACTCCATTTCCCCTTATTGTTTCCCAGCCTATGATGCCATTCTTAGACTACCAAAGAAACAGGAAATATTGCAATTATTTACAATGACCCAACAATCTGTTGTACTCCACAGACTGTACTGTGAGTTAGCAAAATACTCAGCTTCACAGTAGACACTAATACAATACTGTAGTTCCTAATCTCATCCCAGTTGTTGCTTATTTTCCTTAGGCTCTTTTTCTTCTCTTACCCCCTTTTCCTCTCTCCATAAGCTTTCTTTAGATTTGTCCTGCTGCTCATTCAGCCTTTTCCTCTCCTGCATTCTTAATAGAAGGAAAGAGATTCTATCTCTTTATCATTGTTACTGAAAGAAAGAATTAAGTGTAGAAGGAGAAGGAGATTACAGATAGGTACAATGGAGCACAAAATGAATATTCTCAGCTGCTTCAATTTCATTTCTATGAGATGCCTAACAGCTAACAACTAAAGGTGCTACTGCAGACTAAAAAACGATTCACTAAGGACACATCCACACTAAATGATTTTTAGTAAGCAGGGGGTTTTTTTGTGTGTGTCGTGAACAACTTAAGAAACTGCAAGTCGCTTCTGGTGTGAGAGAATTGGCCATCTGCAAGGACGTTGCCCAGGGGACACCCAGATGTTTTACCATCCTGTGGGAGGCTTCTCTTATGTTCCCGCATGGGAAGCTGGAGCTAACAGACTGGAGCTCACCCAGCTCCCCAGACTCAAATCGCTGATCTTTCAGTCAGCAGTCCTGCCGGCACAAGGGTTTAACCCATTGCTCCACTGGGGGCTCCCTTTTGTTGTGCAGATGATTACATAGGAAACCCTGGAACCAGTTTGAGGCCTGGATGGTGATTTAGACAACAATCGGAGCAGTGATGCACATTAAGGGCATTCTTTCACCTGATTTTGTGGGGGATTGTTGCCTGGCCAGCATAATTTCGGAGCTTCAGAATGCATTAAATGGTCAGTGTAGATGGGACCATAGATAACTTCAAACTGAAGTGAAATGGATTGTAGCCTATGATATTAACCTATATGATAGGAAACTTTTCAGCATATTCCATTCAATCAAAAAGACTCAAATTATAGCTGCAATGATGTATATGTTACTAGTGACAACCCCCATTGAACTTCCTTCCAAATAAAATAGGCATAAGATTCTATCTAAAATCACAAGGCAGACAACAATACCTGGATGAGTCATACATATCATTACAGTGTGGGCTATCTCATGATATATTTTACAGAAAACCAAGAAAAAAACTGAAAATATTCTGATTATCCTTTTCAATTGAATTCGTTATCCATCAGCCTACCTAACAAATGTCACCAAAGGTGTCTTACTGTGGTTGATGAGTGTCAGTTAGACCAAATGGAGATGAAGCCTAAATGTCACCAAAAAACCTTATCTGAGACAAAATGAGTCACACATTATAATCTTTTTCCAGTAAATTGAAATGTTCTACCTACAGCCCATAAAAGCCTTCAGCATGGTCCTTGTTGGGTTGTATCAGAAAGGAAGCCCATGAGATGGCCAAGGAGCTCCACATGTACTCCTCACATCTATACTAGGTGGAACAAAATGTTTTAAGTTAATTTGGAATCCTTTTTATATTCTTAAAAAATGCTACTAGTCATTAATTTCATGAAAAGGAAATTCTTGTTTTATTCCACTATTACTAGCGCCCATGCCAACAACAGCTTAGGATAAATATCTATCTCCATGTGCACAGCATTTACAAGAGAGCAAAGAATGTCTTTTGTTATAATGTAATATAATGATGCTCCATCAGACCCTTAAGAAGGAAAAGAGTTTTCCCCGAATCAATGGTTGCT